GGCGTATAGAAACGATAGTTACGCGTAAAAAATTATTCTAAGCAAAAATAACATTAATTTTCAACCATACAACTATAACCATTAGGGTGGTCCTTATTTTTTATTTTTCAAAGTGTATGCTTCTCTCCCCTGGAAAAGTTTTGCCATTTTTTACAATATGTTAGTATAGGATTTTTATTGAGACATCATCTATATTTGCCGATTATGCCGGCTGTTATCATTGTCAGAGCTACTGGAAGACATTAAAGTTAACTACCTTTCACTATCTAAAGCTGTGCACTTAGTGAAGTCATTTTGGGGCAAATTTGGCATTGGTGTGTATCTATAGTCCACCATCTCCTCTATAATTTCTTTGAAACGGATAGTGGATTTTATACAGTGCTTGATATCATCATACATCTAGCATCGCCCCAGTTATATAAGCCTTTGTAACCATTCTAGCTGCTCACAAGTAGTACTAGAGCTTTCAATATGTTCGCACAGGGATTTCATTGCATGGGGAAAGTGCGAACATATTGAAAGCTCCCAAAAAAGACCTATACACCCTACATTCCATCAAAAACTTAATAAGAATCCTATAATCATCCCTTCATTAGATAGAATAATTAACGAAAAATAACAGAACATATTAAAAATCCCTTAAACAAAATAACTTCCTTGATTGCATTACATCTGTTTTTTATAGCCTCGTTTTAACAGAGTTATTAATAGAGTCTCTTTTTCTAGAAACTTCTATAGAAGATAACTCTGTTTGGAAAACAGACCACAATTTCTACTCGAATTTTAAAAAATGGCAAATAAAAATTACATACTAGATCCAAGAGAAAAGAGGATTATATTATCATCTCACCAACTGTTGGTTCTAATTCTTAGTTGAATGATGGTGGTAGAATTAACTTTGAAATAAATTCATTATCAAATTGGTTACTTCTTTCTGATGCTTATTTCAGATGCGATTTCAAAATAAAAGATGGAAGTCCCAATCAGAATAGTGTACCACAAACTAATACAACAATTTCTTTCCATCTTTATTTAGCGAGATGGTTTAGGAAGCTGGTTCAAATCCTATAGAAACCATTAAACGCCCTGGGGAATTTGACACAATGTTGAAAACAGTTCTATATCCCAAAAATTACGATTCAGTTTCAGGCTGGATACCCGATGTTGGCGATGGAAGTGTTTAAAAGAACCAGTACAAAATGTTGCAAATGATGCAGATGAAGCTAGAATGAGAGTTATTGCTCGTAACACAATAGAAAGAGTAGGACAAGGAGCTAATCATGGATTCGAAATTCGAAAAACGAGTACTTCAGTACAACAATTCCGTTGATAATAATAGTTGGGGTAATTACGTAAATTGGAAGTTATATCCATTATTCGATCTCCGAATTGGTAAAATATGGTTGGGTTTGTATCTGATAATTTTAGAGAGTTTTTAAATGATGAAATTGAAGGTGAAAGTTTTTGGAAATCTGGGAGATTGTTCCACTCACGAATTGTTTTGATTCCTTAATCTTGTTCAAATGAATTGAAAATTTTGGTTTTTCAATAGAGATTGATATATTAACATATACCTCATCATCTCTTATTGCTGGTATCACAAAATTTTGTTTTTGTTGACTTTTATGGATATCAATTGAGGTTAATATATCATTATTAACAAAATATAGTTTTACATATTCAAAATCTGTCGTTGGTAAAAACTCATAACTCATATATCCTTCTTCTTTTTGTGGTTCTGGATTTCTAATAATATTCATTGATGGTGGAGTTTCCGTCTCCAATATCATGTCAAAATCACTCAATGAAACAAGATTATAATTTCTTTATCTGGTATGATTAACATTCTAAACCTAAACTAGTGTCCAAAAGAAACGATACCACCTGTTTGCAACGACATAAAAGAAAAACTAAACAATGCAGAAGTTTAGGATTGGTGTTATGCTTTTGAAAAATCCTTTCACAACATCTGTACAAAAATTTCATTTCAATAAAATCTGTACAACCAATATGACAAGCCTTTAAAGATGGGTGGGGTCGAAAAAAGAACATTTCGTTAGAGCACTGATCACAGAAACAACGGGAAATGTCACACCACACGTCACAAAGTCAAGTCAGTAGCGGGTATGTCCACCGCGAGCATCAATACATGCTAGAACACGCCTACGGACTGATGCCGTCAAACGTATGAAGACGTTGGGAGTGATGCGTTGCCATTCCTCGAGGAGACATCGTTCCAAGTCCTGGACGTTGACTGGAGGCACACGGTGACGTCGGATTTGCCGATCGAGGTGGTCACATAAGTGCTCGATGGGATTCATGTCCGGTGAACATGCGGCCATGGCAAAACCTGTAAGTTGGCGTTGGCAAGGAAGTGTCAATCTTGCTGTGTGTGGCCTTGCATTGTCATGTTGGAAAAGGAGTCCACGAGGCTGTTGCTGAATAAAGGACACCACAACAGGCCGTAGGACGTCATCAATATAACGCTGTGCATTCAGGTTTCCACGAATTACGACGAGCCTCGTTTTGACGTCACCACATATGACCCCCCAAACCATTAACCCTCCACCTCCAAACAGCCGGACCTGTTGGATACAGTCAGGCGCCAAACGTTCACCAAATCGTCGGTATACAAGCTGCCGTCCATCGTTTTTGAAGATGAGGAATCTGCTCTCATCAGAGAACATAACACGTGCCCAGTCCCGCCGTTGCCAACGTCGAACTCGCCTGGCCCAGATCAGTCTGTTGTTCCGGTGTTGAGGCGTCAGGAGCGGTCCACGGTAGGGATGACGTGGCCGGATACCATACTGCCGTAGTATCCTGTAGACGGTCTGTCGACTGATCCTGTGTCCCAGTGCTGTAGCCGCCGTGGACGTCGCTGTTAGGGTGCGGTTCTTCAGGTGTTATACCCGAATGTAACGATCTTCAGGGGGCGTGGTTACTCATGGTCTTCCACTCCTGGGCCTGTCTGACGTCTGACGTAACCGCTGCATCAACCTGGTGATAGTGATGCGTGCGCAGCCCAACCTTCTGGCGACGTCGACGTGTATCGCTCCTTGTTGGACCATTCCAACGGCTCTCTCTCTCTCTCGATGGCTGTCAAACGTGGCATATCTTGTGTTCTTTTTGTTGCTGTGATATCAACGTGCAGAACATGCTAGAGAGGGAAATGTCACTTTCATGAAATTTACGTTTTTTCCCGGAAGTGATCACGTGTTCCCGGTATTTTTATCGACTATGCTGTGTTTGGGATGTGCAATACGAATTGGCATGTTTTCATATTAGACAATTCACTTAGTAAAAAACAATTTTGAAAATAAGTTGGTATCGTTTCTTTTGGACACTAGTTTATATATTTTCCACTTGTTTTAATTTCATATAAGTGATTAGCCTTGCTGTTTTCAGCGTTAATTTCAAATTCTTTAGTTTCTACATTTTCTGTACCACTGATAAACTGAAGAACTTTACGATCGACAAATTGACAAAAATTCAAATTGACAATCGGATGAATATCGTGGGTTTTGTCTGAAGAATAATGAATCGACTTTTACCTATAATAGGAAAAATAATTTCCATGTAAAACAAAATCTGATAGATAATCAGCATCAAACATGTTTGAGAGGTCATACTCATAATCTATAAAAGAATATGCTCTTATATTTGCTGCAAATCCATATTTTTTATATTCAAAATCTTCTGATTTATCAATATTAGTAGTAATAGAAACATCTATTTCAATATTAGAAATATCTTTATCACTCAAACGTCAAAATGGAAGATTGAAATAATATGATTTATTTTCTTCCTTGAGATTCTAATGCGGCTATATTTATTTCCTGTTTTAAAACTTCGTTATTAATAGTGGTTATCTGGTGTTGAATAACTGTCACAATATTATTTTGTCTTATAGTATTTTGTTGTGTTGCTGAACACTGGACTGGACTATGCACGAGATTGAAAGCATGAGGATGAATGCACGTGCGGATTGGGTTGAAAGGTCAAACTTGGTTTATATAAGAGTGTGGAGAGGGTCAATAGACAGTGTGTCGAGACGACGGCTAGGCGACCGGACCGGCCGTAAGACGTTATAGTATAGCCCGGAGAATTCCGACGGGTGGTTATTTGTCATAAATGATACAAACTTTGGCCTACTTGTTTTGACGAGAGGTTTCTAGAAATAGTAATTTATTATTATATTTGTAATAATCAAGCCGTTTCGACACGCATAACTTTACTAATGGAGGTTGGTTTATAACCTACATGTTTGAGAATATGTTCGTCATCTTATTGTAATCATATGTTATGTGTTGTTAACTTTAGAGTACTTTCAGTTCCTGTTATGTGTTGTAAACTCTAGACTACTTCCTGTTCCTGTTGTGTGTTATAAACTTCGGACTACTTCCTGTTTCTGTATTTGTTATAAACAACGAGTAATGGAGTGGTATTTATGCTGAACCCATGGTGGAATACTTCAACCGATCAACTAGCGTGTCGTTTTAAAATTGTCGGGACACTGCGTTGTATTAATACAATTGTTTAATATACGTATATAATATAGTAGTTCTTTTATTGACTTGGGTACTTCAGGACTAGTTAGCCTCAACTTTGTGACATTTGGCGAGCTTGCCAGGATAGCTAGTTCCTGTTAGACCTTGTCTTTAATGAACATATATGCATCTTTAGTATCTTTAGTTTTATTTATTGTTTTGTTATTTTGTTTACATCTTGATAATCATGGGACTAAATTTCTTTTCAGTATTACTTCTTTAGTCGTATATATAATAGTATTCTATTAGAGGATTTTTTTTTTCTCTTTAGACGACATGGACCTGGACAAATTTATAAGAGCCGGTAAGGACATGGGGTTGGAGGGAGAGCAACTACAAGAGTTTGTAAAACGTGAAAAAGATCAAGAAAGGGCTGATAGAGCAGCTGAGAGAGAGTGAGAAAAGGAAGAGAGGGAGCGAGAGAGAATATTTCAGAATGAAAGACAAACGGGTATGTTGAAACAATTGGAATTGAAAAAAGAGTTGTGTTCTTTAGAATTATCACAGGCGAAGGCGAAACGTGATGTTTTAGAGGCTAGTTTAAATCTACCATTTCATGAGTCTGCAGTAGATTCTAAACCCTGTAAGTCATTAATTAAACTTCCACCTTTTGACGAGTCCATTGATGAAATGGACGCTTACATAAACAGATTTGAGAGATTTGCACAGGCTCAGGGTTGGCAAAGGTCAGTATGGGCTGTTAATTTAGGTTCTTTGCTAAAAGGAAAGGCATTAAGTATATATTAAAGGTTACCAGCTGATAAGAAAAATGAATATGAGGCTTTAAGAGATTCGTTATTGAAAAGTTATAATTTGACTGAAGAGGGATTTCATAATCGTTTTCGTAATTCAAAACCGATATTTAAGGAAATTCCACAGCAGTTTATAGCTCGTTTAGAAGGCTATTTCAATAGATGGATAGAATTATCCCAGACTTGTAAAAATTATGATGCTTTAAAGGATCTTCTTTTACGGGAACAATTTCTAGTTTGTTGTTCACTGTATATGACAGTTTTTCTAAAGGAACGAGTCCCCAAAACAGTGGATGAATTGATCAAACTAACAGATCAGTATCTGTCAACACAGGCATCGGCTATTAAAAGTTCTGTGGGTAAGGAATGTCGAAAATGTTATTTGTGTAAATTTGTAGGTCATATTGCTAAGTATTGTCCAGATTTGAAGAGGGATTAGTAGACTCAGATATGCCAAATTACCAGTGGGTATGTTGATGGCAGAAAGGTAACCGTTCTTAGAGATACCGGTTGTAATACTATTGTAGTAAGATAAAACTTAATAACTGATACGTCTAAATTTACAGGTGAAAGAAGAAAATGTGTTATGTTTGAAGCTTTGTGTATGACTAATCCTGTTTGTGACTTAATTTTAGGTAACATATCGGGTGTAAAAGATCCATTTTCGGGTGATTTATTACAGGCTGTGGAAACTCATTCCGGCAAATCCAAGCAAAACCCTAAACCTCTGCGAGTTTCAGATCTTGGCAATGAAAATGTATCAAAAGAGCAACTGAAAGAAGCTCAGCAAATAGATGACTTGTTAAAAGAGGTAAGAGAAAAATTGGCAAAAGAGGAAAAGGATAATCGAGGAGGTAAACTAGTTTGGTTCGTTTTGATTTCAGGATTGATATATAGATGCTTTACGTCCCCGGAGATAGAGAATGGAAGGTTATTTCAGTAGTTTGTCGTCCCAAAAGAGTTTAGGCTTCAAGTCTTGTGTCTAGCCCACGAGTCCATGTATGGGGCCCATTTAGGTACTAAAAAAACCACAGACAGGATACTTTGTAAATTTTACTGGCCAGATATTCATGGAGATATAACTAGATTTTGTAGGTCATGTGATATTTGTCAACGTACTTTTCCAAAAGGTAAGGTAACTCGAATGACTCTTGGTTCTATGCCTTTAATTGAAGTTCCTTTTGACAGAGTAGCAGTCGATTTAATAGGACCAATTTTACCAGCTTCTGATAAAGGTAATAAATATATATTAACCCTAGTGGATTTTGCCACGAGGTATCCAGAGGCAGTAGCTTTAAAAACAATAGAAACTGAAAGTATCGCTGAATCATTGTTGGGAATTTTTTCCAGAATTGGTTTTCCTAGAGAAGTGCTGAGCGATAGAGGGAGTCAGCTTGCATCAGGTCTCATGGAAAGAGTAAGTGAATTAATGTCAATAAAACAGCTATTTACCACACCTTACCACCCTGCATGCAATGGGTAGTGTTTAAGATTCAATGGGACTTTAAAATCCATGCTACGCAAAGTATGTGCTGAAAGACCCAAAAATTGGGACAAGTATTTAGCACCTGTATTATTTGCTTATAGAGAATCGGTACAAGAGAGTTTGGGTTTTAGTCCATTTGAACTACTGTATGGTAGAACGGTTAGGGGTCCAATCTCTATTTTACATGAGCTTTGGACAAGAGAAATTCCAGAAAATGAGGTAAACACTACATATCAGTATGTGTTAGATCTTAAAGATAAATTAGAAAGTACATGTAAACTTGCAAGGGATGGATTGGGTAAATCACAAAACAGGTATAAATCATATTACGATAAAAAGTCCAAGTTAAGAAAATTGGAAGTCGGTGAGAAAGTGATAATCTTATTACCCAATAACAATAACAAATTATTAATGCAGTGGAATGGACCATTTGAAGTGGTGAGTAAATTTAGCCATATGGATTATAAAGTAAATGTTAAAGGTAAAATTAAAAGTTTTCATATCAATTTACTTAAGATATATGTAGATAGGAAATTTGAAAACAAAACATGGTCTGCTTTGGGTTGCTTATTGTTGGAGGATGTTAATGATCTGAAACTGATCATTCACAATGATCATCAGAATATACAAATGTGTGGGTCTGATATTGTCGAAGATATTGATCGTGTTGAAAGTAGTGATAATGAAATGATCATTTTGCCATCTTTGTCTCAGAAAGAAACTATTTCTGATATTAATTTAAGTAAAGATTTATCTATGAATCAGTTGACTTCCCTTAATAATATATTTGAAAAATTTTCAGATATTTTTACGGATGTTCCAGCTACAACAAACTTGGATGCGCGCAAAATTAATTTGATTTCAGATAAACCATTTAAGATCAGGCCTTATCCAGTTCCTTATACAATGAAGCAAACTATTTTAGAAGAAGTAGAACAGATGCTAATTTTGAATTTGATGCAGAACCCATGCCTACCAATGATGAAATTTTTGCTAAGATTTCTGATAGTAAATATCTTTCTAAAATTGATTTGACTAAAGGGGAAGATTCAAAGAAGAAAACGGCTTTCTCGACTCCTTTAGATCTCATGCAGTTTAGAACAATGCCTTTTGGACTTGTAAAGGCCCCTGCAACATTTACAAGGATAATGCGTAAGTTATTACAAGACTTAGATGGGACTGACAACTATTTGGATGACATTTTGGTTTTTTCACAATCTTGGGATGATCATGCTCAGACATTGAATTCTCTATTCTTAAGATTACGGGAAGCAAACATGGTAGCTAGGCCATCAAAATGTTTTATTGGTTATCATTCTTTAGATTTTTTAGGTTACCGTATTGGCAACAATTCCGTTCAACCAATGGACAAAAAGGTAGATGCTATTCTCAAAGCATCGCGTCCAGAAACCAAGAAACAATTGCAGTCTTTCTTGGGTTTGGTCGGTTATTACCGAGGTTTGTTCCAAACTTTTCTGCTTACGCAGTTCCTTTAACCGATTTAACGAAAAAGGATGTTTCAAATAAGTCGCAGTGGGAAAGCGCTCAGGAGAACGATTTCGAATCTTTAAAACGAGCAGTTTCTTCATTCCCGATTCTTCGTCTGCCAGATTTTTCAAAGAATTTTATATTACGAACAGATGCCAGTAGCACTGGTCTAGGTGCCGTGTTAATGCAAGAATTTCAGGATGGGATTTTTCCTATTGCTTTTACTAGTAATGTTGCCTAGGGAGACTAGATATGCTGTAATTGAGAAGGAATGCTTGGCTTTAGTTTGGGGTATTACAAAATTTCAGGAATATTTATATGGTGTTGAATTCATTATTGAAACGGATCATGAGCCTCTTTCATATTTGAATAACAAGAAATTGACTAATAGTAGGATTTAAGTATGCAGCCTTATCAGTTTATAATAAAAGCGATTAAAGGTAGGGTGTAAGGAAATTTTGGAAATTTCCTCGTGGATGGGGGGATAATGTCACAATATTATTTTGTCTTAGAGTATTTTGTTGTGTTGCTGAACATGGAAAATCGTGACTAAGAAAGTGTCTAGTTATTGGGGACTATGCACGAGATCGAAAGCATGAGGATGAATTGTGTATGTAAGGGTGTGGAGAGGGTCAATAGACAGTGTGTCGAGACGAAGGCTAGGAGACCGGACCGGACTGGACGTAAGATGATATAGTATAGCCCGGAGAATTCCGACGGGTGGTTATTTGTCATAAATGGTACGAACTTTGGCCTACTTGTTTCTAGAAATAGTAATTTATTATTATATTTGTAATAATCAAGCCGTTTCGACACGCATAACTTTACTTTATAACCTTCATGTTTGAGAATATGTTCGTCATCTTATTGTAATCATATGTTATGTGTTGTTAACTTTAGAGTACTTTCAGTTCCTGTTATGTGTTGTAAACTTTAGACTACTTCCTGTTCCTGTTATTTGTTCCTGTTGTGTGTATAAACTTCGGACTACTTCCTGTTCCTGTATTGGAACGAGTAATGGAGTGGTATTTATGCTGAACCCATGGTGGAATACTTCAACCGATCAACTAGCGCGTCGTTTTAAAATTGTCGGGACACTGCGTTGTATTAATACAATTGTTTAATATACGTATATAATTTAGTAGTTCTTTTATTGACTTTGGTACTTAAGGACTAGTTAGCCTCAACTTTCTGACAATAGCACTATCATCAATATTTTGTATTTGTTGTTGAATATAGGTTTTAATTTCGCTATCATCAATATTTGTGGGACTTTGCTTCCAGTTTGTTATCGAAATGTCTATTCTTTTTTTTTTTTTTTCGATTTTTCCACAGGGCACACAGCCTAAACTATGCTAGCTGCAACATTTCTGAAATATGTTCTGACGTCGCATCATGACGACCTACTTTTTAAATATAAATTGGAACATTTTTGCAAAAATGCAAATTGCACATTGCAACCTGAGCAAAAACGGGTTTTTTGACCCTGGAAGCCACATTTTTGGGCCGATTTGCTTGGGTCTTCATTTTTGGAATCTGTGACTAAATTCTGATGTGATATGAGTTAAAAAATTTCAAATTTCAAAATTCGTAGCATACATTTTTTGGCCGATTTTCGAAATTTTTGGACCATTTTTCAGTTTTATTTGGGTTAATCTGAAATTTTGATAAAAGATGCATGTCACTAACGTAAACCATTTGACGTATTCAAAATTTTTGCGTCACTTCCGGTTAAAGTGGAAAATCGATTTTCACTTCCGGTTGAATAACTTCCGGTGTGATTGAAATATTTCAACGAAATTATGTATATCGTTATTAATCGTAATTCTATGGCCGATTTTAAAATAAAATTTAGTCCGAAAAAAATACTTCGGCCGCCATCTTGATTTGATACTTTTTCATAAAACTCAAAATGGGGCTTCGGGGGAGAATGGGATTGGTCAAATTTTTATATTGGTGTATACTTTAGTCGATGGCGACAAAAATGTTGTGAATGGATTTTTGAATTTGACTTTTGCTTTTTTGCAACTTCCGGTCGAATTTTTTTCAATTTTTGAAGGCTTGTATCTCGTGACCTTGACCTTTGAAGACCTTGACCTTCATAGGGTCAAAGATCATTGACCTTGGCTATCATTTGATACTTTGACCTTTGACCTCCGACATGTACTTCCGGTTTTATAGCTATCCGTAAAAGCCAAATTCGCAACTTTCGACTGCTCTAGCACGTGACCTAATTAACCTAGAGGGTTACTTTTTTTGGTTTTCTAATGTGCTTCTCATGCACTTTACATAGATATAGAACAATTGCTTTTTTAAAGCAAAATTGAAATTCGTGATTTTTTAAAATTTGAGTTTAGTTTTACCATATTTGTGTCTTTTTGATCTTGGTGTATGTATATCTTATGACCTATTCTATGTAGAACCTTGATATTTGGAATACAACTAGACACTTTGAATATGAATTCACCTATGACAAAAAAATTGGGGTGGGCGTGGCACATACGGGTTGAATTACTAATTGTTTACATTTTGCGGCTGTGGCATAACTCGCATAGGATACGTTTGTTCAAAAAGGGACTTTGCACACAATTACCTCATCCTTTTGGCCAGTTTGTGTTAACAGCTCAGTTGTTTCAGCTTTATAGTTCCAAAAAAGGAACGGGTTTTAACATTTGGATATTTTCATTTTTCGATTTTGACCTTTATTGACATTTGTTGACCTATATCTTTTGACCTGAATAATGTAGAAGCTTGAAATTTAAAACACAACATAACATTTGGAATATCTATTACCCTATGCAAAAAAATTAAGGTGGGCGTGGCACATCTGGGTTATTACTCATTATTGACATTTTTGGCCAGGAACATAACTCGCAAAGTATACGTTTGTTCAAAATGGAACTTTGCATACAATTATCTCATGTTTTGAGTCACTTTGTCTTAAAAGTTCGGTTGTTTCCGCTTCATAGTTCAAAAAAAGGAACAGGTTTTGGAAATTCAAAATTTTCAATTTTTGATCTTGACCTTTGTTGACCTTGACCTTTCTAGGATCAAACGTCATTGGCATTGGCTATCTATTTATACTTTTATATTTGCTGTCCTATGTCAACTTCCGGTTTTATAGTCGCATGCAATTAGAAATTTTGATGACGTATATCTCTTGATCTTGATCTTTTTAGGCCTTCTCCTTTACAAGATCAAAGGTCATTGACCTTGGCTATCTGCTGATACTTTCATTTGTGAGGTCTGACGTCTACTTCCGATATTAGAATCTTCTAAAAAATAAAAAATAAAAAATTATCAACTTTTAGACTTGTTCATGCGCTTGACCTAATTATCGTCGATGGTTGATTTTTTCGAGGTCTTTAGCAAATTGCTACATTTGCAAAGACCTACTCTGTGCCACGAGTGGCTCTCGTTTGTATTTGTTGTTGAAAATAGGTTTTAATTTTACTATCATCAATGTTCTGTATTTGTTGTTTAATATTTGTTAGTTCTTTTTGTAATTCACTGTTAAGTTTAGTTTAATTCCTGTTGAAATGTATCTTCATTTTCACCTGGAATGTTATCTATTAATTCTTGAATATCTAATTTTTGTTTTGCAATCTTATCATCTAATTTAGATATTAATGAAATTAAATTTTGTATCTGAGTTTTGTTCACTACATCAACCAATTGTTTTTGAATAAAACTTATTAAACCTGCTACCTCTTGCTGTAGTTTAGTATCATTAATAAAATTTGTATTAATTAGTTGACGTTTGAAGAATCTTTTAACATTACTTATTTTATCTTCTAAATGGTTTTTATTTACTTCAATTGAATTTATTTGATCCCGTAAATATTTCTTGTGAACAGCATCATTATCATTTTACGGAGATATTAAATTAGTTATTTTGAAATTGTTCATATCTAAATCACCTTAAAGAGTGTCTCTGATTTGATCTACAAAGTAAGGTTTTGCTTTATTTATCCATGCTGTAGTGTTAGGTTTATTAGTTTTTAAAGATAAAGAACCTAATCCAAATTTGTTCACCATTTTTGTTAAGTTAAATTCATTATAATTTCTTCAAACTGTTGTTTTCCTAAGCTTATCTGATATAAAACCCAAAATGAAAGCTGTCCACAAAACTTTTGTCCGGTAATTGAATTTGAAATGTAGAACATTTGATTGGTTTATTAGTTAATTTCAGTATTTCAGTATCTCTTCAGTTGGTTCTAATCCAAAAGAATCAAAAAAATATAAGTTATTTAAAGAGTCTTTGTACAAAGCAGAATGATGAACTCCTTTTTGATCGAAAGTATGTATATTCGTTATAGCATAAAATTTACCTTTCATATATTTCAGATCATTTATTTCATCTCTCATACAATAATAAAACGGTGATATATTTAACTCATTTGCCCATCTCATAAGTTGAAAGTTTGTGGTTGTATCGTTTCCATATTTATCGAGAAAGATATTCATTTTTAAAAGTCAGTATTTTGAAGTTTGTTTTGATAAAACCTACCTATGATTTGTTCTTTGTCTCGATCGATTAATTCATGTCGGAGGTAATGAGCTATTTATTTTATCTACGATGAATATTTCGTTTGTCCAGTATCCAACATAACCTTTTTCGAATTTACTTTTATATTTGAAAATACGAACGCGATCTCCAACTTTAAATTTGGATTTGGTATTTAAATTATTTATTTCATTTCCAAAATTATTAAGGGTAGAAGATATAATATCTGGATTTTGACTAGCTTCCATTAGAGAAACACCAATTGAAGAATGAATTTTATTATTATATTCCGTGGGTAAAATCTTTAACCATTTTTGAGACTTTTGTTTTGATTTCATCTTTCTATTACTACAGCTTTTCCCTCGTTATGAGTACTGTAAATTTCAAACCCAAGTGATTTCATATTTTTATTATAAAATTCACTTCCTTTATCTACCCAAAGTTTTTTGGGATGTCTGCCAGATTGTTTCATAATCGTTTCAAAAGCATGTTTGACTGATAATCCTATTTTGTTTTTCAAAGGAATAACCCAAGCATATCTTGTATATAAATCTATAACTGTTAAGCAATATTTATATCCTCTTTCGACTGGCATATTAATTAAATCAGCTGACCATATTTCATCTTTTTCAAATACTTTAACTTTTAAATAGTTTTTAGTTTTTCTAAATTCTTTATGAATCCCATTCCCCATTCATTTTTGCTTTTAACAGTTTTATGATTAGAGCCCTTTGAAATTTGGATTTGGAATATTTTCAAGTTCGATTATCATTTGTTTGTCTGCTTCGTGTCTGAACTTTATGTTTTTATTTCTGTATAAAATATCATATTTAAGTGCAGCAGCATCAACTCTATTGACTGGTTCTTCACCTGGTTTGTGTTTATGGTTTTCATCTAATCGTAGATCTAACCTAGCACCTGCACCAGTGTAATTATCACCTGGAAGATGTTTTTCTCCAGGATATTTTGCCCATGGAAAACCAGGAAGAGAGCCCAATGATTTTTGAATATCTGAACCAATTTTTTGGAGTGTGTGCGACTATCATTTTTATCCTATAACTTTAAAACCTTTTCCTTTCTTTTCTTCTAATTTCCTGTTTCGTAGTTCTGTTATTAGTTGTAATTCTTTCAACTCGTCAGATTTTGTCACTGCGTCGCTTATACTCTTTCCCGCTTCCGCGACAGATCCTATAGCTTTAGCCTCTGAGGAAATGAGGGATTTGTTGTTTGAAATAAATCTGCCTACTTTTGGAATTATTTTTTAACCTTGAGAAAATATTGATGAAAAGATACCGTCGCCTGAATAATCTTCGAATTTGTGTTATTCGTGTTTTAGAATTAAACTCATCCTTTTTTTAAATGAGTTAATTTAATGATGAAATGTAGGGTGAATAGGTCTTTTTTGGGAGGGAATTGATGGAATGTAGGGTATGGATGTCTTTTTTTGGGGGGGAATTGATGGAATGTAGGGTGTATAGGTCTTTTTTGGGGGCTTTCAATACTTTCCCGATGGAATGAAATGGGCCTCCAAAATCTATTGCAATGTGATTCCACAGTTTCTCAGGAATTGTAGGCATCTTGATTGGTTCTTGTTGATGTAGTTTCGTTGTAACTTGACATTCATAACATTGACGAATAATTTCTTCTACCATTCTGTTCATGGTCGAAAACCAATACTTCTCTCGTAGCATTCGTTTTGTTTTGGTTATTCCAAAATGTCTAAGTTGATGAGCGGCTTTAATGATCTTTCTCTGAGTTGATTTTCTCTACTTCTGGATATCTGGTTCTTTTGTCAATAGCTACTAAATTGTAGTGACCATCAGGATATGGGCCTCCAAAATCTATTGCAATGTGATTCCACGGTTTCTCAGGAATTGTAGACATCTTGATTGGTTCTTGTTGATGTAGTTTCGTTGTAACTTGACATTCATAACATTGACGAATAATTTCTTCTATCAATCTGTTCATGGTCGAAAACCAATACTTCTCTCGTAGTATTCGTTTTGTTTTGGTTATTCCAAAATGTCCAAGTTGATGAGCGGCTTTAATGATCTTTCTCTGCAAATTTTCAGGAATTATTATTCTGTTATGTCGAAATACCATCTCATCATAAACATATAATTCGTCTTTGATCATGTAGTAATTTGAAATATCTGGATCTTTTCTGTGTCCCTCCCAATCATCTTTTCTTATAATTTTGGTTAATTTCTGAAGATGATCATCGTTCTTGGTTTCAATTTTAATTCTATCCAATAAAACTGCATTTTCATCTGATATAACTTGACCAATAATCTTCTCAGTTCCTGTAGTTGGTAAAGGATGCCTTGAAAGAAAATCTAATGGATCTTGTTCATCTTTACCCGGCTGGTATATTAATTCAAAATCCAAATCTTGCATTTCCATCACCCATTTTTCTATTCTTGGAACTGACTTGGTGGTTTATGGGCTGTGATGATTTTGATTCGTGGTGCTCTAAGTAAATACATTCGGAATCATTGTTTCATCCTATCTGATAGCTAATGCATCTTTCTCTGTCTGACTATATCTCTTCTCTGTCTGTGTCATTGTTCTGCTAATGAAATGAACCTTTCTCTGTTTCTTGAAATAATCCTGCAGATAATCCATTATTGTAACTAGCTTCTGTTCTGACTATAATTTTTATTCTTGGATCAAAATAAGCCATTGCGTCTTCAATTGTAATACTATCTTTAAGTTTTAGAAGGCTTCGTTTTCTGTTTTACCCCATTTAAATTTTGTGTCTTTGTGTGTAAGTTGTCTTAAAGGTGCGGTTATGGACGAATATCTTGGTATAAATTTTGATAAGTATCCTATCATCCCTAAGAAACTTTTAACTCCCTCTTTGGTTTGAGGTGGTTTACTATCTTTGACTGCTTTAACTTTATCTGGTGCTGGTTTTAATCCATCTTTGGTAAATTTACAACCATAAAATTCTAAATCTTCTACACCACATTGACACTTAAATGTAATACCGAAATATTTTTCTCTCTGTAAAACTGTATCTTAAGTTTTGTTGTGCTCTTCTAAATTTCTACCACCTAATAGAATCTCTTTGGTTCAAGCATTTTGGTATGTTCCCAAATATTCTGTATATAGTTTCATCAACATGACTCCAAATATTAATCTTTTTGATCTGAGATTCCCCCATGGTCTACTGAATGTAGCAATAGATCTAGATTCTGGATCAAGAAGCCATTGATGATAGCCTTGGTGCATATCTAACTTCGAAAACATACGACAATTGTTGAATCTGAGAGTGAAATCTGCTACTACAGGACCATGGGTTACTCTGTTCCTCTCCATAAATTTGTTAGGAATTCTTATATCTACACTGGCTCTAATCATGTGAGGATCTAAATGATCCTTATCTACTGTCTAAAATCTGGGCTTAGGTTGAACTACTAATGGTGAACACCATGTAACAGGTTCTCCTTGTGGTACCTTTTCAAATATTTCTTCTCTTATACATTCATCTATCCTTTTCTTCAAAGGTTCTTGTAAATAGTAAGCAACTGGTCTAGGTTTTTGAGCTACAGGTGCTACTCCTGGGGTCATGTTAAATTTAGCATATAAATCTTTATCATTCTTCAAATCTCTGATGCTTCCAATTCCTTCAAATATGTTTGTACGTCTGCAATATTGGTACACTTTACCATACTCTCATGCATTCTCAATCATTCATAGGTAAAAGTGAGCCATCTGGTCTTATTTCTAACATACCTAGCTCCACCACTGTTTTCCTACTCAATAATGGCAGTGACATCATCTTCCCTGGTACTCCTCTTGTTTTATTTATAATGGTATGAAATTCTCCTTTGATTTTCAGCTTATTCTGTAGTGTGCTTAATGATGTGTTCATTTTCTCCAACATTGGATTTACAGATGTTCTGTGGACTAGTGACATTTAAAACATAGCGAACCATATGCTGGACAGTTTTCTCCTGCTTTGTGGTTTAATTAATCCACAATATTGACATTTTATTGAATCTTTTCTATAAAACCCTTCTCTCTTCACTCTGGAAATTGTCTCATCATCCTTTTCTGTCTTTATCTTCATATCCTTTAACTGCATTGAAATATCTTCATACTGGCTAGCCTGTTAGAAATCTGGTCAAATTCAATTTCTTGTTGATGGCTTTTTGAATCAAATGTTGATTATCTATAGTTGTGCTCTAGTATTCTCTCGTCATTATCTGCAAATTCACAGTCAGTAGCATTTTCTCTTAGTCTGCTGGCATAAACTGCTGTTGTTTCCCCTGAATTTAATCTCATTTTGGAAAAGCTGTATCCGGCATAATGGATGTTCTTTTTTGGTAAGAAGTAAGCTTAATCATTTAATTTATTTCTCAGTTTCATATAATTATCAAGGGCTAGTTGATCTTCTTCTGCAACCGGATTTTCTCTAATCTGGCAATTTCTCTCCCACTGTAAATAATCATGGCGTCTTTCTTATGTATTGGATCAGTAATTCTAAAATATAGGAATTATCTTTCTATTCCTTCAAGCCAATCTTCCCATGCTTTACCAGTCAAAATTTGATCTTCTGGATGGGTAAACGGTTGTGTTTTTAAATGTCGTGATTCTGCCACAAAATGAACCGGATTTGGCTGGTTGCCGCCATTATTTTTCGTCTGACACCGGACATATTTATTCAATTCTATCAGGCCCTAATTATCTTCAATATTTTCTGGAACTCTCTTCTCTTTAGTCCCAATGTACTTACCGTATATTTCCGTGTATAATGCACAGGTTTTTACCCTGAAAAGGGATACACACAGAAGGGATGCGCACAATACATGGTTAAATAATTTTTGAGTTTTTTTCCCCTTCGAATATACCGCGAATCGGTGTTGAGGATCCGCCAGTTTTTCTTCCTTCAATGCCATGTTGTTATGTTTTTAAGATCGTTTCGGGAGTTATAACAACTCATTAGACTGTAATGTATTTTGTAAATATTTTGTATTAATATATTTCAAATTACTAAACTGAAATAGGTATATTAATGTGTTATTTTAACGCAAGTAATTTCATAAAGAGAGACGTTCTACGGCGGTTACAAAATATTATCAAGTATTGCATGAATTTGAATAGCTTACCAGATATACAGGGTTTTAATATTATCCTTCGTTTTTCCCAAATTATTCATCACAATACACATGGCAAATGAGAAACAAATACTTTTAATACTCTCACAATACCTTCAGAATCCATGTGGTGTTTTTTCGCACCTATATAATTGAGCGGGAAAAAGTTCTGAACACAGAATTGAGGACAGTAGTAGAGTTTTTGTAAATCTATTATCACAGTAATCCAAACCTACTTGAATAAACTTAATATAAGATTAGGTGACTAAAAACAAGAAGATCCAGTTAATTTGTAACACCACTGATTAATTTTATGAGTACATTCTAAATGGAAACAAGAGGCATGAGATCAAAGAAAGATCAAAGAATACTATGAACACCTGTTGTCCAGGTGATTAGTGAATGGTGAATTGGGTGGATCACAAGCACTTGTTTCTATCCATATTAAGTTCTGCTGTAATATGTAGGGATAACAGACGTTGCCATTGAGTATCAATGATAGAAACAAGTGCCTGTGTTCTTACTTGATCTGGACCATATTTATTGAGGACATTCCTTTGAGAATTTTAACCCTTCAACACTTCATCATTTGAAGATAGAAATACAACACTTTTTTTTAACGGAATCGTAATAAAAAGAAGACAGAAATATTAATTTATTTAAATACAGTTTTTGATTATTTAACATATAAATATATTAACAAATGATGGTTAATTTTAAAATGACTTTGGTGATACGTGGAATATGCCCTTAGGAATTAAATATGAGTTAGGACTTAAAAAGCAAATAAGAATGTGAGGACGATCGTATGTATTCTAACCCTTGATATATATATCATTGAGCTCTGTTAATCTTTGAGTTTGAGTTAACCTACCGTAATTGAATAATGCTATACCTTCAATGAAAGTGTGTTTATATTTATCGATTTGTTTAGCCTTTTAAACAACATGATTAGTCATCACTTCTCAATTCTCTATAGGCCAATGACTGAATTGTACAAACAAATGCGTTTATATTATAGATGATATCGTGTCAAATATAGGGGATGATAATGGTGTCTGTGATGTGCCAAGTCTGACTTCAAATTTTTCGTAAACAAGGGGTGCGCATTATACACGGGTAAATGGATTTTTCCTGATTTTAATGGGAAAAGGAAGGGGTGCGCATTATACACGGGTATAATTTGGAAAATGAAACATCAGACATGCATAATCGTGGCACTTGAGAGGATTGAACCAAAATTGACACTTCCATCTAGGTCCTCTTCAGACTAGGATAAATACTGATTAAAAATTTATTTATTAATCAAACATAAGTTTTAAGCTTTATAATGGATTTCCATAACAATATAGTGAAGCATTTTTTTTTTAATGCACAGCACTTGTGTAAAAACCTTGTCACTTGATTGTAATTTTAATACAAAATGTGTTTCTTAATATTAATTAGAATTAATTACCGTATAATATGCACCCCTTCATACATTCGAATTAATCGGAGAATATATGTCACATAATAATGTACTACCAGTCCAGACGCAAAAAGTAAACAAGTTGGCATAACATAGACACCATAATTTTGAGTAGCAATACCGCATATCCACCAACATGACATGTCTTCAACAAATACTTTTTTCTTACGGTTATATTTCAATTTTTCAATTTTTTAATCAATTCAAAGCCAAAGATAGAAATAATATTTGTTTGTTACTGTTATTTGTATCTTTTCGTGACATTGAGTCTAAATTTTCAAGGTCGTACGCGTATGAATCTCGATTGAGAGAGACAAAACTAACCGATAATTATAGGAAGCTCAGGGTTGCGATTTATACAGTTACGAATATTTATAAGCCTGTCATTATTTTTTTTAAGATCCCCTCTAAATTAAAAGTGTTATATATCTTTCTGAAAATGACGAAGCTTTCCAATTCTACTTGATTGTCGATCGGTTGGGTCCAGATCTACCAAGCTAGTTTAAGCCATATCCCAGTTCCCAAAAGCGTGAACATTAGCGTCGTTTTTTATTCGGAGGTTATCAAACAAATCTTAAATCGTCAAAATGAAAAAAAAAAATGCTTTGCTGACGAAAATTACATTCTATTTTGCTTAAAATTGTATCTCAATTAGCAATGCCATGTCGGTTATTTTGTCCCCTGTATAAGTTGGTCAGAAAAACAAATGTCAGAAAAACAGATGCAAGAACGGAAAGTTTACGGGCTGTCATAAAATTTTAAAAGGATTTTATGAAACGAAGATAGAGATCACATTAGATTCGGACATCCAGTCTAGCAGGATTATCTAGTAATAGTAGAAAGACCTATACAACGGCGTCTATGCTGTTTATTGATTAAGTTTTCTGTAAAAATAAGGATACTGTAAAATTTTGATTTATAAAAGCGAAAGTAAAATTTTTTTTTTACTTGCTTTCAACGAAAAGTAGCCGGCGTAAACGGGACAAAATGAGGATTTTAAACGCCGGTTTTCGCCGGCTGCCGGCTACTTTTGAACCCACTGGTTGTCTTTGGTGTCTTCTATTGATGATTTACCATTTTAAATCCTCGTCACCAATTTAACAACTGTATTTATTCATGAAAAAAGTCTAATTAGCTTTCCCCCATTGAGTGTTTATTATGCATAAAAGATCACATGACATGACGTCAGATAAAAGCATGCAGTGACTTAATACAACATTATATGAATATGTAAATGATAAGCACGGATTTGTGTGAATATTACAATCATCATCGAAGACTATGTTCCAGAAGATGAAACTGCCAGATGAATTCCTCATCACAGATCCCAACACCTGGGCAGAGAACGAGGACTTCAAACGCGCCTTGTCAATCGTAGTTGAAATGAAGGATGTCAACAATCATGTGAAAGGTGGCACTCATTCAAGAGTACTCTGGAATACTGACCAAAGATACAGATCAACTAAAGAACTTCAAATGTACCCAGGCAGTAAAAGGTGACACTTCTGAATAAGCAGTGAGAGACTTGAGACTTTTCGTGAATTTTTGGACATTTAGTGATCTTTTAGATACTTTTAACTATTTTTTAAACATTTGATATTTCATTTTTGTTGACAGAATGTATTTGGCATGAGCACGAGTTTAGTATTAACTGATTGTAGGAAATAAGTAAGGGTGAAGAAATAGCAATAAAACTTACAGACAATAAAATCCATATAATGTTTGTATTAGGCTTTGTTATTATATTGAAGGCAAAACTTCACCAGGATTGAGCTACCCCTAAATATTTGAATAACTGAATGAAATTTTCCATGAAATGTTTTTGTACTAAATAGAACATTTTCTGAGGGTTGAGAATAGTTAAAAAAAAAATTTGCCTCAAATAAGGACCACACTAATAATCATGGGCGGGCACATGAAATATGAAAGTAGAGTAAAAATATCCTCAATATCGATAAACACAGATCGTTATTGATATATTGTTTCCGATTCTCCCATATCGC